TTCCAAGGGAAGAGACCAAGAAGTTAAGGAGATGAACAGAAGACTTCAAAAGGCAGCACACGGGGAGCTCTGGTGGCCTAGTGGCAAGAAGCTGAACTACAATCCCAGAGGCTCGCAGTTCAAATCCACCAGATGCTCTGCCGGGGAAGGAGGGACAATCTCCTCCTGTACCAGTCAGATCTGATTTGAAGGTACACACACACAAAATAATAAAATTAAAAAAAAAAGAAGGCAGCACACAAAAACAAAGCAAAGTATTATAATGAAATGTGCAATAAGCTGGAGTCAGAAAGTCAAAACTGATGAACTCACTCAGTATTTTAAATTGAAGGAAATGAAGAACAAATTCAAGCCTCGAGTTCCAATACTTAAGGATGCTGAAGGTAGAATGTTGAATGACTGAGGAAGCATCAAAAGATGGAAGAAGTACACAGGGACACCACACCAAAAACAACTGGCTGATAAAGAAGAATTTCATGAAACATATGATCAAAAGGCTATGGTGAAGGAGCAAATTAAAACTGCTCTGAAGGAACAGACAAAAAACAAGGCCTCAAGAACTGATAGAACACCAACTGACATATATCTGCAAAACAGATGCTGCCCTGGATGTGCTTACCAGGTTATGCCAAGAAATCTGGTAGACAACTACATGGCAAACTGACTAGAAGAGATCTGCATTTATTCTCATTCCAAAAAAACAAGGTGACTGACTAGACAGAGTGTAGAAATAATAGAACAATATCACTAATATCACATGCAACAAGACCCTGCTGAACGAAGATCATCCAGAAATGCCTCAAGAGTATATCAACAGAGAACTGCTAGATGTTCAGGCTGGGTTTAGAAGAGGCTGTGTACTAGGAACATACAGCTAATGTTAGATGGATCTTGGCTGAAAGCAGAGAAGAATGTCTGTGTTTCATTGACTATGCATTTGACTGTGTGGATCACAACAAACTGTGGCTAACCTTGAGAAGAATGGGGATCCAAGAACACTTGATTGTGCTTATGCAAAACCTATACTTGGACCAAGAAGCATTAGTGAGAACAGAGCAGGGAAATACTGCATCATTCAGGATCAGGAAAGATGTGGATCAAGGATGTATCCGATTATCTCCATACCTTTTCATTTTGTATGTAGAAGAGATCATATGGGAAGCTGGACTTTATGACGAAGAATGTGGCATCAGGATTGGAGGAAGATTCATGGCCATTCAAATATCTTCCTCTGTGAAGAGTCTATCCATGTCTTTTGCACATTTTGTAATTGTATGATCAGTCAGCCTTTTTCTTTTAGAGGCCCTGTAGGATTCTGTAAACTTTTAATGAGACCCTCATCTAAAATCATATTGGCAAATACTTTTTTCCCCAGTCAGTAGGTTTCTTTTTCACTCTGTCGTAAAATTTTTTGATGCACACAGGGATTTTAATCTTTAGAAGGTCCATTCATCAATTTTATCCTCTCCAGACTGTGCATTTCTGCCTGTATTTGGCAATTTCTTTTTACCATAGACTAGGCCATCTAAGCTTAGTCAACTAGGCCAACTTTATGGTTTTGGGCTTTACTCCTAGGACTCTGATCCACCTTGAGTTGATTTTTGTGTATGGTGTCAGATGTGGATCCTGTTTTAGTTTTCTGATGCAGCAGTCCAGTTTTGCCAGAATCATTTGTTGAAGAGGTTGTCATTTCCCCATTTGATAGGTTTTATTTCCCTGTTGATTATCAGTTGACCATAGAGAGCCGAGTCCATTACTGGGTGCTCAATTCTGTTCAATTGGTCTACTGGTTTCTTTCATTGTACCAGTACCATGCTATTTTGGTTACTACCACTGGGTAGTAGGTTTTGAGGCCAGGGAGTGCTATGCCTCCCACTTCATTTTTTTTTTTTGGATCTGACCCACCTTTGTATTTTTTTTTATTATTATTAAATTTTATTAGTTTTAA